GCATTGCCCGCTGCATCAAGAGGATAAGATTGCTTGCAGCCCCTGCAAAGGAACCAGCCTCCTCGCAAGCGCTTCGCCTTTGGATGCAGCTCCTGCTGACAGTCGGTGCATGCCGCGCAGCCGTGCGGCAGGGTGCACATTGTGGCATCGAAAGCGTCCGATGGCTTAGTCTTTCCGCAGATAGAGCATGACAGGGTGCGCCGATTGCGAGCACACTGCGTGCACACCTTCTTGACATCCGGTCCTTCTTGACGCAGCTGTGCCACCGGGAATGCCGCCGCCATTTTGCTGCAACCACAGACGTCGCAAACGTGCTTGGTGAAGATCTCGGCGTCTCCGCTGATTTTGCGCTTGCCGTTGGTTTTGCCGCCCTTCTCGCAGTGGAGGCACCTGGCCACCCGGTTGGCTCGCACTTTGCCCCACTCGACGTAGGAGAAGTTGGCGAAATCTTTCACGTGGCCACAACTGCCGCAGGCGGCGAAGGGGTTCTTGCTCTCGCGCCAGGCCTTCCAATCGACGGGCTCTTTGCGGAGTGTCTTCAGCAGCAGATCGGGGCCTTCGGGCGATCCGCGTTGGAACAGCCAGAGCGGGAAGGGCCGCAGAATGAGCACGTCCTCACGGCTGCGGACGCGGCTCGCCGCCACGGTGCCCAGGGTCTGGTGGACGTTCTTGTCCACGTTCAGGTCGAGCAGTGTGGCATCCAGCGTCTTGCCCTGGCTGCTGTGCGCCGTAATCGCGAAGGCCGGGGTCAGCTGAAGCTGCTTTCCTCCGAAGGCTTCAGAACAAGCTTCCTCTACGATAGGAAGATGGTCTACCATCCACAATCTAATCTTCTAGGGCAGCTAAGCGTCGTTTCACTTTCAGGACAGGGTTTTCGCGCCCGCGGTCGAGAAACCAGGCTTCGGTTACGGGCCGCAGGGGATAGATGCCGGGCTCGGGCGTGCCGGGGAGCTGCCACGTCACGTCCGGGAATTTGACGTACACCACCTCCGGCTGCTGCTCGTTTTCGGGCCACACCCAGGAATGCACGTGCCCGCAGCGCCCGCGAAGCAGGAACTTGTCGGACCGGTCCACGTGGTCGGTGAGGGCGACCGGCATGCCGATGGCGAGGGGAAGCAGGCCGCACAGATCTCCCGTGTGTCGGTCGTGGTACTGGAGCCACTTCCTTTTGGCCTCCTTGCTGCAGTCCTCGGCTTGAAGAGCTTTGGCCTCCGCCACGTCCTTGGCCACGGACCACCTGAGAGGAGCTCCGGACTCCTTGCTGTAGGCTCTGGC